ATGAGTAACCACTGTCCAAGGCACAGTCTCAAGAGGTCCTGAGAACATGTGCCCAAGGTGATTGCTTTACAACTTGGTTTTACATATTTTAGGGAGACCTAAGACATCAGTCAATACATGTTTTAGTTATAGACTTGTAGCAATTAGCTTGCAAAACATAAGTATTTTCTTAAAACCTTTTAAGCTACACAGTTTAGAGACTTTTTTTGTGCCACAATGCTTTTGGCAGTCTTTTTAGTAGTTTGTCCTAAGGTGCTTGATTTTAAAAACTTTATAAAACAATCTGCATAAACCTCATAACAGGGAGCACTACACCCAGGAGGTTTTATTACCAGGTATGTTGATATATTCTTTGCAATTTTCTTTAAGTTCTACAGGAAGGAGGAAATTATGGTTTGGATTGATGAAAAGGGACCACATACTGGTCCAGGAGGCAAAGTCTCTTATTTTGTCAACTGTTTAGGCATCTGTGTGTCCATTTTAGATTTGGAAGATCTAAATTAACTTCGAAGCTCAAAAAGCAACCTTTACAATCTTACACACTTAACGCATCCAAAATAGTGCCTGAGCCTAGAGGGAAGGTGCTTATATAGTTTTAGCAGTGGAGCATTAGCAATGACAATAGATCAGGACCAGGGGGATTCTAAATAGTTTTAAATTTCGGAGATAGTAAGCAGAGAGAGAAAAAAGTAATCTTGATTGTTTTGCCCAAGTTGCAAGCTATCTATAGAATTAGCAACATTTAAACAAAAGGGACTTAAGCCCTGCTTAGCTCTGACAATGGCAGGAAAAGAAAACTCATAGGTAACTAAACATTTATCTAGTAAGGCATAGAACAAATTACATTAATATAGATGGAGGAAAAAAATTATTCAATGATTATTTATGACTTTGTATATAGGCCAGGCCAGTGTCACATGAAAGCAGTTCATTTTGACGATCATCTTCTCTCAGGTCTAAAGATGGAACTTTGGTCAACTTGAGTTTGATGCCAGACACCAAAGTTGACTGTTAAGATTCAGTAGGCGTCAGTGCTCCCTTTCAGATGGTACACATGTACCCAGGAGTCAAACCCCTGCAACTTAACAGCACAAGGGTTAGTTAACAACATTTCATAAAGACCTTTTTTTTCCTTTTTTTTGAGACAGTGTCTTGCTGTGTCTCCAGGGTGGAGTGCAGTGGCACAATCTTGGCTCACTGTAACCTCTACCTCCTAGGTTCAAGCAATTCTCCTGCCTCAGCTTCCCAAGTGGCTGGGACCACAGGCACGTACCACCACACCTGGCTAATTTTTGTATTTTTAGTAGAGACAGGGTTTCACCATGTTGGCCAAGATGGTCTCGATCTTTTGACCTTGTGATCCACCCGCCTCGGCCTCCCAAAGTGCTGGGATTACAGGTGTGAGCCATGGCACCCGGCCGTAAAGACCATTTTTAAGTGGGGCTAAAGGGAATCTCTCAACTGATGTCTAATCATCAGGCTGGCTGGTGGTGATATTTGAGTTTATGACTTGATTGGCAGCTCTAGAAAGATTCTATATCCTTAGGGTGATTAATTTCTATAGTTTTAATAAGCCTCCAGCAATTAAGTTCAAGTCAGAGACTTAATTGGGGATTTCATTTTGAGGATATTTGTCAAAAATGTTAAAAGACACAAAATACTTTATTAAAACAGAACCATACGTCATTATAAAATAATAGTTAATCATTAACAAGAGTCATAATCAAAAGACTTCAAAAATCATACAGGAAGTTACACAAATGTAAAAACCTTAACCATTTCAAAGTTTAGTTTTTTTTTTTTTTTTTGAGACAGAGTTTCGCTCTTGTTACCCAGGCTGGAGTGCAATGGCGCGATCTCGGCTCACCGCAACCTCCGCCTCCTGGGTTCAGGCAATTCTCCTGCCTCAGCCTCCTGAGTAGCTGGGATTACAGGCACGTGCCACCATGCCCAGCTAATTTTTTGTATTTTTAGTAGAGACGGGGTTTCACCATGTTGACCAGGATGGTCTCGATCTCTTGACCTCGTGATCCACCTGCCTCGGCCTCCCAAAGTGCTGGGATTACAGGCTTGAGCCACCGCGCCCGGCTTAAGTATTTTTTTAAAACCCAAATAAAACAACACAGGAATTATTTTGATAAAATGTAAAATCACTGTTTCTTAGACTAATCACCAAAAAAGTAAAACAGCGACAACAAAAAAGACCTATGGTAGTAATTATTTTTCCTTATGTGAAGCTTATTTGAATAATCTGAAAGTCAAACCTGTATTCCAGGCCTTCTGAAAGGCAGAAAGGCTAAAAACAGCAGGGTAGAGAAGAATTTGAACTTCTAAGATATCAACCTCAGAAATTTCAAGTTTAAAAAAGGATTACAAAATTAAAAATTTAAAACTTCTTGTAATTTCATTAAGGAAATCAATATTTTAAGAAAGTCTATTCTAACCAAGTCTTTAGTTTTATATTAATTTTTATTATCAAAGCAATTTTTAGAAAGATGATTATAAATAATTTCCTTTCCAGTATAGCTAACTTAACCACATACAAAATTTCTTTCATAAATTCTGTTTTTTATGAGCCCGATTATGACTTACACAGACCATGTTTGAACTTTCTGTTTTGTCCTAAACATGTCTTTTTCTTAAATAACCAGTCATTTTATTTTAGGACAAAAATTTATCGTACAAGATTCTTTTTCACACAAAATTATTTTTCTTTTAAACTCTTACCAAAAATATTACTTTTATACCTATAGCTTTCTTTACATTTCTTTTACTTACTAGCTACTAGCTCATTTTACTTTATTTCATAAATAACCTTTCACTGAATTAGATAAAAATTATTTTCTTTTTATTAAGAACACATTTGTATGTCTTATAATTTTTCTCATTTTCATCAGAATACATCTTACTTTGGCATATTTTATCTGTAGAATTATACATTAAATTCAAATTTTATTTTTAGTAAACTTAATTTTTTGTAAAGACCTAAAAAATAGGAAATCTTAAAATGTCTATTACATCACCATTTTATAGGTGAGAACCATTTAGTATTTAATTTTTCTGAAAATATTTATATATATAATTTTTAAATATAATTGGATATGATCCAGATATTTAATAATTATCTCATTCGATTTAACATAACTTTAAGAATTTAAAATTAAAGGACAATTTTATTTATAAACATTTATTTCATTCCATTTATTTGACTATTTATTTATTTTTAATAGTTTACCTAGCTGGGCACAGTGGCTCACACCTGTAATCCCAACACTTAAGGAGGCCGAGGCAGGTGGGGCACCTGAGGTTGGGAGTTCGAGACCATCCTGACCAACTTGGAGAAACCCCATCTCTACTAAAAATACAAAATTAGCCAGGCATGGTGGCACATTTCTATAATCACAGCTACTCAGGAGGCTGAGGCAGGAGAATCACTTGAATGGGGAGGCAGAGGTTGCGGTGAGCCGAGATCACACCATTGCACTTCAGCCTGGGCAACAAGAGCTAAACTCTGTCTCAAAAAATAATAATAAATAATAAATTTTTTAAAATAAATAGTTTCCTTAGAGTACTTATGAAAACTGTGATGTTAGACAAAGCTACTCATAATTTAAAGTTATTTCTCTGTTAACCAATTTTATACCTATGAATATCAGGTGTTTGCCTAAGTATGAAATTTACAATTAAATAAATGTGGGCGGTTTTGCTGATAACTCAGGATTTAGCTGTTTTCATTAGACCAATAATATTAAATGCGTAATTTGTCAAAATTACATAACGATCATAGGTTTGGGGCTGGGTTTATGCTTCTTTCTATACCCTTTGTACCAAACTTTAACACGTTATAAGATCTATGAGATAAATATAAAACCACTTGAACAGTAAATCTAGACAAAATGTATGCTGACAATTCTGAAGACATTTCTAACTTTATGTTACCAATAATTTTAAACCAGCTTATTTTTTAAAGATTTACTTAAGTCATATGAACTGGAAAAGTATTGGGCTTATTGACTTAATTTATGAGTACTCCTTTATTTTAAAGCCAATTTGGTACTTTGTGGCCACAACACATTTAAAAATTGCATGTACATACATACAAACACATCTAAACACACATACACGCATATACAAACAAAGACCTTATAACTTTTACCTCAGAATCTACCCATGAGAGAAATACAAACTCACTAGTTTAAAAAAAAAAAAAAAAGACAAAAAGAAAAAGAAATGATTGGATGCAGACAGTGGGTTTTATCTCAACCCCAGTAGAAAAATAACAGCAGATTTAAAGCAGGCAGAAAAGAAAATAGAGAAATACACATAAAACTTTAAAACACTCTATAGTTGCAGGTCGACTTTTGACCTCTGAATTTTTTTTTATGTAATTTACCCACAAGTTTAAACTATGCACAAGAATAGACCATAATATATAACCAGCTGCAGTACTAGAAAAACTGTTTACAAAAATGCTTGCAAGTAGAGGCATCATACAAACAGGGTGCCCAAAAGGGGGTCATTCTCTTTGTATTTCCTCATTCTTTGATGATTTGTTTCCTGTTTTTTTTTTTTTTTTTTTTGGTTTTTTTTTCCTTTAAGGGAGGAACCAAACTGTAATCTACATTTTAGTGGAGTGGAGCTGAGACATTCAGTTGCTCATTGATTTACACAAGAGACAGTTCAGTTTCTCAAACAAATGCAGGAAAAAGCCAATTGAGATTAATTTGGGGAGAAAGAGGCAATGGAAAAGATCCTTCAGAATGCACCTCTGAATCAATATTAGGATCCCAAATGACAACTTCCTAGGAAAAGTACCAGCTCAGAATAAAACAGAGGACTGTCAACCAAACAGGAGGTCCAGGGCTCAAGAAGACTTACCAGTTTCACTCAAAGAGAAGCTTGGAGTCGGGGGGCTTTCAATGGGCCCCTGCTGGTACCTTAGCTCCGGGTTTCAGTGACTTCTTCAGAGATCTGAGGCCCCATATGCAGGGTGCCAATTAATGTTGATGAAAAAAGCCAAACTGTAACATATGTAAAGAGATTTATTCTAAGCCAAATATGAGCGGCCATGGTCCAAGACATAGTCTCAAGAGGTCCTGAGAACAGGTGCCCAAGGTGATTGAGTTACACCTTGCTTTTATACGTTTTAGAGAGACATAACACATCACTCAACACATGTGAGCTATACATTGGTTTGATCCAGAAGGCTAGGAAAACTTAAAGCAGGGGAAAGTAGGTGCTTACAGGTCATAGGAGGAGTCCAAGATTTTCTGATTGCAGTTGCTTGGAAGAGGTAAGTTATTTTCTAAAGACCTGAAATCAATAAAAAGAATGTCTGGGTTAACATAAGGGGTTGCGCAGACCAGAGATTTTATCATGTAGATGAAGTCTCCTAAGTGGCTGCCCTTAGAGATAATAAATGGCAAATGCTTTCTATTTAGACTTTTTTTTTTTTTTTTTTTTTTTTTTTTTTTTTCTGAGATGGAGTTTCGCTCTTGTTACCCAGGCTGGAGTGCAATGGCGCGATCTCGGCTCACCGCAACCTCCGCCTCCTGAGTTCAGGCAATTCTCCTGCCTCAGCCTCCTGAGTAGCTGGGATTACAGGCACGCACCACCATGCCCAGCTAATGCTTTGTATTTTTAGTAGAGATGGGGTTTCACCATGTTGACCAGGATGGTCTCGATCTCTTGACCTTGTGATCCACCCGCCTCGGCCTCCCAAAGTGCTGGGATTACAGGCTTGAGCCACCGCACCCGGCCTTCTATTTAGACTTTTAAAAGGTGCTAGACTCTCAGTTAATCTCTTCATGTTTGGGAGGGCCCAGAAGAGGAAAGATCTAGTTATGTTAATGAGATGCTTTACAGATGCAAATGTTTCCCAATGACTTTGCAGGGCCATTTCAAAATAGGGTAAAGAAACATACTTTGGGGTAAAATATTTTTATTTCCTTCTTTATCCTGTGAAATTATACTGGAGTCAGGTTAAAATTTGGTATCCTACTGGTAGGAAGTGTCTGTTTTGTCAGTGTTAAGATGTGTTTTTTGTTTGTTTTAAGAAGTGATCTCACTTTGTCACCCAGGCTGAAATGCAGTGGCGCAATCTCAGCTCACTGCAACCTCTGCCTCCCGGGCTCAAGCAATTCTCCCAAGTAGCTAGGACTAAGTCATGTGCCACCATGTCTGGCTAATTTTTGTATTTTTTGTAGAGATAGGGTTTCACCATGTTGCCCAGGCTGGTCTTGAACTCCTGACCTCAAGGGATACGCCCACCTTGGCCTTTCAAAGTGTTGACATTATAGGCGTGAGCCACCTTAACTGACCAAGATCTGTTTTAATGTTTAATGTTCATGCTGGTCAGTTATAATACATTACATTTATTGATTTGTATATGTTGAACCAGTCTTGCATCCCAGAGATGAAGCCAACTTGATCATGGTGGATAAGCTTTTTGATGTGCTGCTGGATTCAGTTTGCCAGCATCCCACTGAGGATTTCTGCCTTGAAGTTCATCAGGTAGAGTGGCCTGAAATTTTCTGTTTGTGTTGTGTCTCTGCCAGGTTTTGGTATCGAGATGATGCTGGCCTCATAAAATGAGTTAGGGAGGAGTCCCTCTTTTTCTATTGTTCGGAATAGCTTCAGAAGGAATGGTACTTGCTTCTCTTTGCACCTCTGGTAGAATTCAGCTGTGAATCTGTCTGGTCCTGAGCTTTTTTTGGCTGGTAGGCTATTAATTACTGCCTCAATTTCAGAACTTGTTATTTGTCTATTCAGGGATTTGACATCTTCAAAACCATTTTATTTCTTAATCAGACTTAAGATACGTTTGTCTTGGTCTTTTCAGGCTGTTATACTACCTTACACTGCGTAATTTATAAACAACAGAATTTTATTCTCACAGTTGCTCTGGATGGAATACTATGGTGGTTTGAATGTTTGTGTTATCCCCCAAATTTATATGTTGAAACCTAATCCCAATGGTAATAGTATTAAGAGATAAAGCCTACGGGAAGTGATTTGGTCAGGAGGCTCTGCCGTCATGAATGAGATTAGTGTCCTTAAAAAAGTGTCCTGAGGGATCTCTTTTACTTCTTCTACCATATGACAACAAAGCTAGAAGATGCCATCTTTTTTTTTTGAGACAGAATCTAGCTCTGTTGCCCAGGCTGGCATGCAATGGCACAATCTTGGCTCACTCCAACCTCCACCTCCTGGGTTCAAGCAATTCTCCTGCCTCAGCCTCCTGAGTAGCCGGGATTACAGGCACCCACCACCATGCCCAGCAAATTTTTATATATACATATACTTTTTTTTTTTGAGATGGAGTTTCGCTCTTGTTACCCAGGCTGGAGTACAATGGCACGATCTCAGCTCACCACAACCTCCGCCTCCTGGGTTCAGGCAATTCTCCTGCCTCAGCCTCCTGAGTAGCTGGGATTACAAGCCTGAGCCACCATGCCCGGCTTGAAGATGCCATCTTTGAAGCAGATAGTGAGACCTCACTATACACCACATCTTCTGGCACCTTAATGTTCAAAATCCCTACCTCCAGGACTCTCAGTAGATTATGTTGTTAAAAATTAAACAGTCCCAGATACTTTGTTATAACGCCCTGAAAGAATCAAGGTAGAAATGGACAGCAAGAGATGGGGTGCTGCTGTAACAAATACCCAAAAATGTGGATGCAGCTTTGGAACTAGGTAAAGGGTAGATAGAGGCTGTAAGAATGCAAAGGATCAGGCTAGAAAAAGCCTACATTTCCGTGAGCAGATTACTAAGAGTGATCTGGTTATGGCTCAGAATAGGAGAGCTGTAAAGAAAGATTTAATCTTCTTAGAGATTTCCTAAGAGGCCATGAACAGAATGTAGGTAGAAATCTGGATGGCAAAGGCCATTCTGATGAAGTCTCTGGTGAAAATGAGAAATGTTATCAGAAACTGGAGGAAAGGTCATCCCTGTTATAAAGTGGCAAAGAACCTGGCTGAACTGTGTATGTATCCTAGGGCTTTATAGAAGGTAGAACTTCTGTGCAATAATAGTATAGTTGGTAAAATAAATATCTAAGCAAAGTGTTGAGGGTGTGGTATAGTCTCTCTCGAATGCTTGTAGTAAAATACAAGATAGAAACAAATTAAAAAGAATTTATAATCAAAAGAGAAGCGGAATTTAAAGTTCTGAAAAATTCTCAGTGTGGGTGTTTTGTAAAGAATTAATGAAAAAGCTTATTCAGAAGAAAATACAAAAACTATGACCAAGCCACCATTTGATAAGAAGATTAGTATGGGTAAAAGGAAGCCAGATGGTATTTTGCATGACAATAAAAGAATGATTCTAAAGGCATTTCAGAGACCATCCACCCTGCCACTCACATCATAGGCTCAGAATACCAAACTTGGTGCCTTGATCTCAGACTTCTCAGACTCCAGAATTGTGAGCAGTAAGTTTTACTATTTATAAAAGATTATAAATTACCTAGCTATGGAATTTTGCTACAGCAGCTTGAATGGATTAAGATAAGGCTAATATATTTTATTGATATTTTCAGAGAATCTGCTTAAAATTCATTGATTATTAACTTTTGACTTTCTATTTCTGTGACTTCACTTTCAAAATGATAGACTTGGATGGGTGCAGTGGCTCACACCTGTAATCCGAGCACTTTGGGAGGCCAAGGCGTGAGGATCACAAGGTCAGGAGTTCAAGACCAACCTGGCCAATATGGTGAAACCCCGTCTCTACTAAAAATACAAAAATTAGCTGGGCATGGTGGCACGCACCTGTAGTCCCAGCTACTTGGGAGGCTGAAGCAGGAGAATTACTTGAACCCAGGAGTCAGAGGTTGCCGTGAGCCAAGATCACACTGCTGCACTCCATTCAGACTGGGCGACAGAGCGAGACTCTGTCTCAAAAAAAAAAAAAAAAAAAAAGATTGACTCAATTCTTCTCACTTGTTTGGATTAATTATTTATTAACACTTGGTAAGATTAGTTCATTCTTTTCTGTCTTATTACCTTAATCTTCAAAACTGTTTTATATACCACTTGGTTGAGCTTATGATAATAAATAAACATTTTAATAAAGTCATAATGGATAAAGGCTTTCCTCTGAGAAAAGCATCTGCAGACATAATAGGATTTGACTTGATGTATTTTGCATTTAATTATTCTCTGGATATTATGTAAGTTCCATTTTTATTTCTTATTTAAGTAAAAGAAAATTCTAAACATGTTTATTAATTTCAGATTAGATAAGATTTGGTAACATTTCTTTAGTTACTCTAAATTTATTGAATACGCACATGATATGGATTGCTAAATCTCTAGTATTTTAATATATTAAATGACTGTGCCAAATGACTAATAAACCTATTAAAAATTCTCATTCTCTGGCTATCATTAAAAAATCTGGAGACAACAGATGCTGGAGAGTGAGGAGAAATAGGAACACTTTTACACTGTTGGTGGGAGTGTAAATTAGTTCAACCATTGTGGAAGACAGTGTGGCGATTCCTCAAGGACCTAGAAATAGAAATTCCATTTGACCCAGCAATCCCATTACTGGGTAATCCAAAGGATTATAAATCATTCTATTATAAGGACACATGGACACGAATGTTCATTGTAGCACTGTTTGCAATAGCAAAGACTTGGAATCAACTCAAATGCCCATCGATGATAGACTGGACAGGGAAAATGTGACACATATACGCCATGGAATACTATGCAGCCATAAAAAACGATGAGTTCGTGTACTTTGTAGGGACATGGATGAACCTGGAAACCATCATTCTCAGCAAACTGACACAAGAACAAAAAATCAAACACCGCATGTTCTCACTCACAGGTGGGTGTTGTACAATGAGAACACATGGACACAGGGAGGGGAGCATCATACACTGGGGTCTGTCGGAGGGAACTAGGTGAGGGACAGTGGGGAGTGGGGAGCTGGGGAGGGATAACATGGGGAGAAATACCAGATATAGGTGATGGGGAGGAAGGCAGCAAACCACATTGCCATGTATGTACCTATGCAACAATCCTGCATGTTCTTCACATGTACCCCAAAACCTAAATCGCAACAAAATACATATGTAATAAAAAAAGAAAGAAAAGCTTTATAATATTCAAATAAGAAATCCAAATAGTTTCCTTAGCTATTGATTGTAATGAGAATGTATCCTTTCTAAAGCTTGTCAATGAAGTGTAAATAGGAAAATTGATTTTTTTTTAACTGCCCTTCTAGAGATATTGTCTGGCATTCAGCTTTTAAGAATTATGTATGAAACAGCAGCACCCAATAAGTCATTAAAGAACAATTTGAATAAATTTTTTTAAAAAAATTCTCATTCTCGCCAGGCACTGTGGCTCATGCCTATAATCCCAGTACTTTGGGAGGCCAAGGTGAGCGGATCAATCAAGACCGGGAGTTTGAAACCAGCTTGGCCACCATGGCAAAATCCCGTCTGTAATAAAAATACAAAAATTAGCCCAGGTGGTGGTGGGCACCTGTAATCCCAGCTATTTGAGAGGCTGAGGCACAAGAATCAGAGGAGAAAGAAGAGGAGGTGAAGGTTGCGGTGAGCTAAGATCAGGCCACTGCACTCCAGCCTGGGCGACAACGTGAGACTCTGTCTCAAAAAAAAAAAATCATGAATTGATCATTACACATTGCATGCATGTAACAAAATTTCACATGTACCCCATAAATATATACAAATATAACATATCAAAAAAATAAAAAATAGAAAATTAACAAGATAAACAAAAAAGCTTAAAATAGGGAAGGAGTAAAAAGCTATTTAATAGTATTGAAAAGTGCTTCTGTTGAAATCTTAAATGAGATCCACAGTAAGAATAAATTACTTTTTCTTTTTTAAGCGTCCATATGGAAGGAGAGTATAAAAATGTGTTACTCTCTGTAAGGCAATTTCTGGAATATACAAATTATCCCTAACTACCTCTATTGCTATGCTTAGAATAGGAGTGTGGCAGACCAATTCTCCCTGACAATAGCACAGACAGGCCCGCATAGCACCTCAGCTACACAAGCAAATTTCTACAGAGCTGCTTTAACATTGAACAAATAGTTAAACCTAGGGAAATCAGTGCCCAGATATCAAAGCTTGAAATGAAACATGGTCAGTAGGAACCTTCCATGGGCTTTTCACCAACCTGGAGCAAGGCAAAATAATGGGGACAGTTTTACATTCCTAGTGCCAGGACCCATCTCAGGTCAACGAAATCTGAGAGGAGCCAAGGTAACAGAAGCAGCTGTTTGAATAGATTTATTGGAGAGTCCAAGGTAGCTCTACACCAAAGTGTAAAGGAGATAAAATAGAAATAATCACTCCAGTACTACAGTGACAGGCCTTGAAGGTACTGGGGCCCTTTTAATCAGACTTAGCAAGCATTTTTTTGCCTCTGACATTCTAGTTGAAACCAAATTAGTTACCAATAGACTTAGGCGAATGCTGTACTGCAGTAGGCACAGTTAATAACCCCAACCTATATAAGCACTAAGAAAATTGTAATACTTTGAGTTGATCTGGTGGAATTATCTCCAGCTTTCTTCCTGTATCCAGTTATGGTAATAAATTCCATTCTTTTCTAGTTTGTCTGCTTTTCCATACTAGGCCTCTAGAAAATGCAGCCAGGCCCGGCTTGGATCCAGGAACAGGAGTAACTCCCAAACAAATATCAGTGTAGGACTGAAAATAAACGCAGAATATCATGAGAGTCTCACAGGAAACGAGGATGACTGGAGAGGCCTTTCTCTAAGTATTGAATTTCCAGCATTTTATTCTTTCTCTTAAGCTTGGATACCTCACACTTATCCTTTCAGGTAGAAAATCTGACAGTTTGGGAAAGTACTGGATATGGAATATTGAGCAGAACTGTATAGATTGCATAGAATGAAAACAGAACTCCATGGACAAGGTCAAGTGTAAATTTAATTTTTGAAAGAACAATATTCTTGATAAGGGTGGGTGGTTTTAGGCCTTAGTTTGATTTGAGATGGAAAACAAAAGTGAAAGTGAGTAGTAAGGCCAGGTTGTCCCCCAACTAGGCAAAATATAAGGCAGCCATGTTTGCTAGAATTTTTTCAGACGCGAGGGGCGGGAGAAGAGGGATGTAGACAGGGCTTCTTGGCGTATCTGGAGCACTACTGCCATCGTGAGGACAGAGTTTAATGAAACCCTACGCCATTACAGTGTTCTCGAGAACAGCGTTCTTCTGTTGGGGAAGGTCTGATGTCCAGGAAGGTGGAAGAGGTTTGGGTTCCCGGCTAGGTCTTCTTGCCTTCTCCTCTAAGGCCTTAAGATAGACCTGGACACTAGCGGCATCTTGTGAGAACTTGGAATGAACCAGCCCCTGCAGGTGGTCCTGGCACAGAAAGTCATGGGGCGGGGCCTTGGTTCCTTGTGTGGGCAGGACTACAGGAACCCACTCAAAGACAAATGCAGTCTCTTGTGGACATCTGTCTCCTGATTCTGCCCCTTAGAGCCAAGAGTCAGCAGGTTTTCACATGGTACTATCTTTCTACGGCTCTTTGGGTCTCTTGCAGCATCCGGGCACAATGAACAGCATTCTTCCAAGGGAAGTTTACAGGCTTTGCTATTAGAACCTTCACTCTCTAGGTTCTACACCAAGGTACCGCCAATGTCCCGGTCACTTTTAAAGCCTCAGATGACACTAAGCAAGGACAACCAGCATGGAAGCCAAGCCTCTTCCACTTCTTAACCAACTGGTAGCCTTCACTAGAACTCTGTAATGGCGTAGGGTTTCATTAAACAACATCCTCACGATGGCAGTAGTGCTCCAGATATGCCAAGAAGCCTTCCCTTGGAGCCCTCTACTGCCGCCCTTCCTGTGTGAAAAAACGCCACTCATAGACAAATACGTCGCCAAACATGGCTGCCTTTACATTTTGCCCTGTTTGTGGCCACCTGGTCTTACTGCTGCACTTCTGCTTTTACTTTTTTTTTTGTCTTTTTCTTTTTTTTTTTTTTGAGAAGGAGTCTCACTCCGTTGCCCAGGCTGGAGTGCAGTGGCACTATGTCAGCTCACTGCAACCTCGGCCTCCCGGGCTCAAGCAATTCTCCTGCCTCAGCCTCCTGAGTAACTGGAATTACAGGGGCAGCACACCCACGTCCGGCTAATCTTTGTCTTGTTTTGTTTGTTTGTTTGTTTGAGACGGAGTCTTGCTCTTTCGCCAGGCTGGAGTGCAATGGCACGATCTCGGCTGACTGCAATCTCCGTCTCCCGGATTCAAGCGATTCCCCTGCCTCAGCCTACTGAGTCGCTGGGACTACAAGTGCCTGCCACCACGCTCGGCTAATTTTTTGTATTTTAGTAGAGACTGGGGTTTCACCATGTTGGCCAGGTTGACCACAAACTCCTGACCTCAGGTGATTCGCCCACCTCGGCCTAGGCACATTAAGAGGCAAAATGGTGGAATTTAACTGGTATATGACCTTCCAGGGACTTTCCATGGTAAAGGGAAGAATGTCTCACTTGAGCATGTGTAAAACTCCAGTGAACACACTGTGCATGCAGGCAGCCTGCCCCAAGGGAAGAATCAAAAGAAAAGGGCAAAAATGCCAGAAGTACGCCACCATATAAAATCCTAGGTCTAAGGTCAAATGGAGCAATTGATCAAGATGTTTGCTTGACCCTCTTCCAAGTGTACTTTACTTCTTTTTCATTTCTGCTCTAAAGCCGAAATAAACATCACGTCCGCTCTAACAATTGCCTTGGTCTCTTATTTTGCCTTATGCCCCTCAGTCAGATTCTTTCTTCTGACAAGGCAAGAATTGAGGTTGCTCCAGACCTGTCTGGATTCAACGCTGGTAGCACGGATAACTTCAACCGCTAACATACTTCAACAAATCCAACCCAAAGAAAGCCAAACACCATTTCATGGTTGACAGTGCTTACTGTATGAGTTTTATATCAAATAAGCCAAATATGTCGTTTTTGGATTTAATATCTAAAATATTAGTTATGTCAGGAAAAAACAATTTATAACCTAATTTTGGAAGGTTTGTCAAATATCAAAGGTTTAAAACACCTGATATTACAAAATCAAATCCCAGGTCACCATAAGTCATTTAGTTATCCAAAACAATAACTCAAAATATTTTAAAAAGGAAAAAACCTTTACTTATTAAAGGGAAGACTTAGCTCTCTGAACAATCATCTTTTTTTGTTTACCTTCCTTTTCCTACAGTTTATTCAAAAGGCAATCAAAAATGTTTCATTATTTCCTAATATTACATGAAAATCTTGTTCAAGAGAGAAAGCCAAATTTCACATTTGTATTAGTGCACTGCTGATGTCAAACCCAAATCTTAATAAAACCTTATGGAGAAATCTATCCAATTTTAATATCTGACCGTAAGGTAAGATTCTTATAAATCTTTTATAACCCTTTACCAATTTTTGTTAAAGAGCAGATTAATGCTCTAAGAAAACTCTATTGTGCTTTTATTCCAAAGTTCAATTTATGGAAAAATTGAATAATACCCCTTTAACTTTAGCTAATACGTTCACACACAAGATTTCATTTACAATTAATTCTTTGCAAACCTTCCATAAGTGCTCAAATCTTGAGATTTTCCTATCTAACTTAAAACATTATTATTATTTTAGAGAGGCAGTGTATCACCTGATGGTTGGCTGACATTCCTAGTGAGTGGGGGAGAACCCTCTCCTGCCCTGCTCCTACCTGACTAGTGACCTACTGTAACCGCTTCAGATATGGGACACTATCTCATATACAGGGCTGCATCTTCCACAAAAATGGTCAGAACAAGCTATTTCTCCAAAGGAGGTAGTCTAGCTGTCCTCAACCTTTTTAGCACCAGGAAGTGGTTTCGTGGAAGATAACTTTTGCATGGACCAAGGCGGGAGATGGTTTCAGGAAGATTCAAGCCCACTACATTAATTGTACACTTTATTTCTATTGTTATTACACTGTAATATATAATGAAATAACTATACAACTTACCGTAATGTAGAATCAGTAGGCACCCTGAGCCTTGTTATACTGCAACTAGATGATCCCATCTGGGGGTCATTGGAGACAGTGACAGATCATCAGGCATTAGATTTTCATAAGGGGCACCCAACATAGACCGTTGCATGAACAGTTCACAATAGGATTCACACTTTTATGAGAATCTAATGCTGACAATGCTGACAAGAGGTGGAACTCAGGCGGTAATACAAGCAAAGGGGAGTGGCTTTAAATACAATGAAGCTTTGCCTGCTCCACGCTCACCTCCTGCTGTGCAGCCCAGTTCCTAACAGGACCCAGAACAGAACAGATTCATGGCCTGAGAACTGGAGACACCTGATCTAGCACATGTCTAAGTCTACTTTAGGTGAAATAGTGTGGGGAGTTTTGATGTCATTTTGTCATTTCCAGGAATGAAGGTGATTAAGAAATTCTTCCCAGATGGTTTTTAAGACTCTTTCTTTCTGTCTGTCTTTTTCTTTCTTTCTTTTCTCTCTCTCTCTTCCCCCCCTCCCTTTCTTTCTCTTTCTTCCTTTCTTTCTTCTCTTGGTGTCCCAGGCTGAAGTGCAGTGTTGCTCACTGCAACCTAGACCTCTGGGGCTCAAGCAATCAACCTCCTAAGTAGCTAGGACTATAGGCTGGCACCACTGTGCCCGGCTAATTTGGGGGGGATTTTTGTAAAGACAGGGTTTCACCATGTTACCCAGGCTGGTCTCAAACTCCTGAGCTCAAGCGATCCACCTGCCTCGGCCACCCAAAATTCTAGGATTACAGGCATGAGCCACCCGGCCTGTCCGAATCTTTAAGACACTCCTGAATGCCAATGGCATCTGTGTCTACAGACCATCACTCACCTCAACTATAACCAGCCTGAGGGAGAGCTAGGCACAGTCAAGAATATCACAAAAGCCAGGCCCCTTACCCTGGAATGCCTTCCTGAATCCTCAGAGGCCAGGAAAAGTCCTACCTGAAGAAGCTCTTGGAGCACTGGAAGGTCACACTACAGTAGCAGACTCACATTACATCCTTTTTTAAAAGATTCAGATACTGAGATAATAAACACTGAAGAAGAATGCCATGGGGAAAAAAATCACCCATACAATTTTAGTCACCCTTGTTGATTCTTCAATTATGAGTCATGGACTATCTGGAGGTCTCCACACCTAAGGATGGATATCTTCATGAAGAACTAGCTTTGAGGCTGGTATACAGAACACTCGCTGGGATGAGGTAAATATTGGTTTGCCCAGGACTAAACAATGCCATCCTTCTCAGGGAATGTCCAGCGGAAAAGAGGCACCTATCTACCCTCTTTAAGAGAAATGAGATTACCATCAACATCCTCCTATGAGAAAAGACTTTCCCATGAACTTATAAAGTCCCTTTTCTGTATGACTTTATAAGACTTAGGCTGGCTTGTGGGCTTAGATGATTGCTTAGGCTTTTTGTTACATTCTTGCTTCCTAGAAGCAGCTGGCTCAGTCCTGGTCCCTCACTCACCAGATACTTCACTAAGACTACATTTGTGCATTGCTTCTGCCAGGCCTCAGAGAAAACGGTAGGAAAACCAACTTAAGTCGCAGGCCCGTTCAGCCTCCACTGGCTTTTTCCTTTTGCAACTGCTGGGGCTTATGGAGAAAATGCTCACGGGTTTTGGATACTATTGAAACTATTTCCGCACGATGGCAGTATTGTGCGAGAAAAGCTAAGTAGCTTTGCCCTAGGCGCTCCTCTCCCGCCCATCATGGTTGAAAAAAACTACATGAAGGGACAAACACACGGGAAACTAAAACTATCTAATATTTTGCTTAACTTGCATAAACATATTCCACTCTTAGCATTTTGCTTTTGGTTTCCATTGGATATTAAACTGAGATCTAATTCACTCACCCTCATCAAGTGTATCCTCCATTCAATAACTCAGTTTCCACACCACCAATTCTTCCAATTTCTTCTTGTCCATTCAGCATTGTATCTGCGTGTTTTACCATGGTATCAAATAGTATTGTACTGGAGATAGACCTTAGGGATCCAAGCCTAAGGAAAGGAGAACAATGTAAATAAGCTTACCCTTTAGATCTTGAAGAAGAGCAAATCTAGGCACCAGGCCACGTGGTTCTTCTCCTGACTACCTACCCAGGTTCCCTGGGAGTTATACTCCATGTTCTGACCTAGTCATTAGGGCTTGTATCTTGAGGGACAGGCCACTATGTACTGGGGCTCTAACATAAGGGTCCAGATAGCTCTCAAGCTTGATAGACACACACAACCCTACTTGAATGTATGCAAATGCAGGAATGACTATAAATGCTAATCAGATGGATCACAGGATTTTGTCTCATGGTTTCATTATTTAACATCGCAACATAAATATTTTCCAGTGTCATTAAGAGGCTGTGGCTCAGGACCGTGTTCTATGACTTTGTTGTGTATGTTTCTTACTATTTTTCAGTTAGGAATCAGTCCTAGATTATCTTGTTAGTAAAAATAACATGTAATTCGAAAAAAAAGTAAAACAAGCTCAGGGCTCCCACTGATTCTACATGATGGTGAGTTGTATAATTATTTCATTATTTATTACAATGTAATAATAATATATATAAAGTACACAATAAATGTGCTTGAATCATCCCAAACCATCTCCCAACCCCCGGTCCATGGAAAAATTATCTTCCACGAAAATGGTCCCTGGTGACAAAAAGGTTGGGGACTGTTGATGTAGAGTTTAACTCCAATGTTTCTTTGTCTTCTTGTCTTTATAAGGTGTTCATCACTGCAAGTGGGGTATTGAAGTCTCCCACTATTATTGTACACCAGTCTCTCTCTCTCTTTATATCTCTAAATGTTTGCTTGTATATTTGGGTGTTCCATTCTTGAGTACATATGTATTTACAGTTGTTATATCCTCTTGCTGAATTGGTCTTTTTATCATTATATAATGACCTTTGTCTCTCACTACCATTTTTGAAATTAAGTCTATTTTATCCAAGTATTGCCATTCCTGTTCTTTTGTCATTTGCATTTGCATGAAATACCTTCTTCCGTAGCTTCACTTTCAATCTATTTACAGGTAAAGTGAGTTTCTTGTTGGCAGTATACAGTTCAGTCTTGCTTTTTTAAATCCATTCAGCCACTCCATGTCTTTTAGTTGGAGAATTCAGGCCATTTACTTTCAATATTATTGATAGGTAAGAAGTTACTACTGCTGTTATGTGATCTGTTTTCCGGTTGTTTTGTAACTCCTCATTTCCTTTGTCCCTTCCTGCCTTCCATTGTGGTTAAGTGATTTTCTCTGGTAGTATGTTTTAATTCCTGAAATTTGTATGTTTACTGTATGTATTATAGATTTTTTTTTGCTTTGTGGTTACCAAAAAGCTTATCAAAAACACTTGATTGTTACAAGTTATTTAAACAGATAACTTAACTTTGATCACAAAGAAAAGAAAGAAAAAATTCTGCACTTTCACTCCACCACTTCACATTTTGACTTTTTATTTTCTCAATTTACATCTTTTATATTGACTATCATTTAACATATGTTGTAGATATTACTGTTAATAGATTCGTCTTTTGGATTTCATACTATACATGTGAGTGGTTTAAATGCCACAATTACAGTATTAGAGTATTCTGAATTTGTTTGCTTACATGCTTTTTCTAGAAATGAGGCCTAGAATCCAAATGAGAATTTCAAATTATGGGTAATAAGGCCTCTCTGAGTTGGCTAAAATTCATTGCACCTGCAAAAGAGGAAACAAAACAAAATAAAACATGTGCTTGGTTTCTGTGTTTGGTTCCTGTCTTAAGAAACACAATTATTCTTTTGCTTACTTTTCCTCCACTCTCTCCCTCCTTCCCTCTTTACCACCTTTAGTACCAAGAAAAATCTGGAGAAGGCTTTTAATGACTTGAAACCCTTGAAAAACTCATAACAAAGATGTCACTCACCCCTTTTTGGAGTATTCTGTTTCCTTTGTGAAGTTTCAACAATCATGGGCAGATTCTTCTTAGGTCTAAAGCTCTGCTCTCCTGTATTGCATGACCTGACATTTTGGGCTTTGGCGGAACCAGAGATTACCTTATGCTATGAGAAGATTTGACCTTGGCGTGTGTAATGGCAGATGAGAGCTACAAAATTAGGGGTGGGTGAGGACAGTTCACAGGAAATTGCCTTACCTGGGTTTTTTCTCCTTGGAAGTTATTGTTTAGGATCCTAATTCTAGTTCAGAGGTACATTTTAAACTTTTCTCCAGTGCCTTTTCTCCCAACATAAATCTCAATCAGAGTGTGCATTTGCATAAGGAACTGAACTGTCATTTTCATAGATAGATGAAAGACTGATGAGTTTCCTCAGCTCCGAAGACAAAGCACATTTTGCTCCTCCCAGCTGAAGGGCAACCCTGGGTGACCAGGGGCCCAGTGGGAGAGTCTGTGGGGTTGATCCTATGGGATGTATAGGTGCCCTACAGGAAACCCCCAACAAAGTAAGCTTAAAAAGGCTCATTTAAGAAGTACATATAGGAGTGATCACTCTTCACACTGAGCCCTCTCAGAGGTGCCAGACCTCCAGAGAGAGAAACTAAGACACTTAAGAGGGCAGAAACAACTTAGTGATGACACACTGTGGAGTCCTGCCTGCACCAGCACACTTTTACCCCTGCACACTAAACCCTAGGCCACAGCTCAGTTCCTCCCTTAAAACAAACAAACAAAAAAACTGGGAGACAACCTAAGGATGAGGAAAAACAAAGAGAGAATGACCCCCTTTCAGGCTCTCCATTGGTTTTATGGAGCCTCTTCTTCCAAGTGTTTGTGTAAAATGGACATATATGGTCTTTTTGTGCACAATTACATCAAGGAAAATTCAGACCCCAAAGGTAGACTTGCAACTATAACATTCTTAAGTTCTCTATCTCTGTTTTCTTTTCTGCCTGCTTTAAGTTTGCTGTTACTTATCTACTGAGATAAAATCCACTGTTGGCATCCAACCATTTCTTTTTGTTACTGGTTTTGCAAACCACTGAGTTTGTATTAATATTTCATAGCTAGAGATCTGATGTAACTGTTTTTTTTTTTTTTTTTTTTGAGACAGAGTTTCGCTCTTGTTACCCAGGCTGGAGTGCAATGGTGCGATCTCGGCTCACCACAACCTCCGCCTCCTGGGTTTAGGCAATTCTCCTGCCTCAGCCTCCTGAGTAGCTGGGATTACAGGCACGCGCCACCATGCCCAGCTAATGTTTTGTATTTTTAGTAGAGACGGGGTTTCACCATGTTGACCAGGATGGTCTCGATCTTTTGACCTCGTGATCCACCCGCCTCGGCCTCCCAAAGTGCTGGGATTACAGGCGTGAGCCACCGCGCCCGGCCTGATGTAACTGTTATAGGATCCTTGGTTGTATGAGTGTGTATGTGTGTGTTTATGTGTACATACATGTGTTTTGTCGTGTTTTGGGACAAAACATACCATATTGGCTTAGAGAATATATTCATAAATTAAATAATAAGCCCCAATGCTTTTCAGTTTCACATAACTTAAGTAAAATCTTTAATAAGCTAGCTTTAAAATTATTGTTGAATAATAGAAATGTCTTAAAAATTTCCAGCATATAATTTTGTTTACATTTATTGATCAAGCAGTTTCATATTTATCCCTGCCAAATATTATAAGGTGTGAAAATTTGGCATAAAGGTTACGAAACTATAAACTCAACCCAAAACAGAATTATCTTTTCTTGTGTAATTTTTTATAGATAAGCTATTAATATTGGTTTAATGAAAACAGCCAAATCTTGAATTATTTAGTAAAATAACCATATATTTAATCTTAAGGTTCTCACTTAGGTGAACACCTGAAATTCACAAGTATAAAATGATTGACAGGAATAACATTAAATTAATATCACAATTATCATAAATAATTTGTATTAACGATTAAAATACAATAATTAGGTAAATATCATGGGATAAATACTTATGGACCACCTTGTCATACTTAAGAATCTAAAGTTGGCCGGGTGTGGTGGCTCATGCCTGTAATCCTAGCACTTTGGAGGCCGAGGTGGGTGGATCACCTGAGGTCAGGAGTTCAAAACCAGCCTGGCCATCATGGTGAAACCTCATCTTTAAAAAAAAAAAAAAAAAAAAAAAAAAAAGAATCTAAAGTTATATTAAATTATAGATATTTCACTAATTGGGTATTTTCCAATTAAAAATATATGTATTGTAGAAAAATATTATTTCTAAAAAATGTTTTAAAACACGAATAACATTTGTCTAATTCAAAGCTTATGTAAAGGTTATCTATAAAATAAGGTAAAAGGAACCAGGAAATAAGGAAGATATAAAGAAAGCTAAAGAAATAAAAAGGTATTTTTCATAAGAGAGTTTAAAGAAAAATTATTTTATATGAGAAAGAATCTTATAAATTTTGTCATAGAATAAACTGACTGGTTGTTTAAAAGAGATGTTCAGGACAAACCAGAAAGTCCAAGCATGTCATTATGTGTAAGTCGTAATAAAAGGATACATGAAAAAAATTTTATATGATCAATGTCTATAATTAAAGGGAAATTATTTATAATGCTCTTTTTTTTTTTTTTTTTTTTTTTTGAGACGGAGTTTCACTCTTGTTACCCAGGCTGGAGTGCAATGGCGCGATCTCGGCTCACTGCAACCTCCGCCCCCTGGGTTCAGGCAATTCTCCTGCCTCAACCTCCTCAGTAGCTGGGATTACAGGCACGCGCCACCATGCCCAGCTAATGTTTTTTTTGTATTTTTAGTAGAGATGGGGTTTCACCATGTTGACCAGGATGGTCTCGATCTCCTGACCTCGTGATCCACCCGCCTCGGCCTCCCAAAGTGCTGGGATTATAGGCTTGAGCCACCGCGCCCGGCCCTTTATAATGCTCTTTCTAGAGATTCGGTTTTGAGGATAAACCACTTTATACACTAAAGAATTGGTTTAAAATAAAAAAGTTTCTTAAGGTATTGAATACTCCTAATTACAAAAAAAATTTTTTTTAATGCAAAGTTCAATTTTTATTGCATCTCACCTTTTTTGGATTTCTCTCACCTATTTTTTTTGAGATGGAGTCTCGCTCCCATCATGCAGGCTGGCGTGTAGTGGTATGATCTCAGCTCATTGCAACCTCTGCCTCCTGGATTCAAGTGATTCTCTTGCCTCAGCCTCCCAAGTAGCTGAGATTACAGGCACACACCACCACACCTGGATAATTTTTGTATCTTTAGTATAGATGGGGTTTTGCCCATGTTGGCCAGGTTGGTCTTGGACTCCTGACCTCAGGTGATCTGCCTGCCTGGGCCTCCCAAGTTGCTGGGATTACAGATGTGAGCCACCACATCTGGCCATATGATACTGTTTTTATTATGGCTTATTGTTTGGGAAATTAAGTCTCCTCTCTAAAAGAATTAAGGGTTTTGCCTTTCCTTTTTTTGAAATCTCTGAGTTAGCACTTTGACTAAATGAATGATTCGTTTTACAATGACCTGTGATCCCATATTGTGTTATTTAGCATTTTAAACATTTTACATTGGACAAACTTTCCAAATTCTAACTTCAATCCTCATTAATTTTTTTTGATATTAGTCCCCTGAAGTCCAAAAGAGACACATTGAGCTTATATTTGACATAATATAATAATAAAGGAAGTATCAGATATGAAATTGTGCTTAACATTTTTTGGATATTTATATAAATGTGTTATTAATATGTGATCCAGAATTGTATGAAATTCTTGTGATTCTGGTATGTTTTAGTATATGTGGGCAGTGGTAATTATGATTATGTAAAACTGATGCATGCCACAGAAGTAACCATGTTTTATAAATAAGCTATTAATATTGGTTTAATGAACCAAGCTATTAAATGTTCTAATGAACATAAGCTATTAAATTGGTCAATTGTGTCTTTAACCATGACTGTTCTGAGATTTTTGTCGTCCACAATTGTTTTACTTTTATCCTTTACAAAAGGTGGTTTTATAATCAACATAGGACTCTGACAGATGCTCTGGAATGCAGGTTTTAGAGACTGTGCCACTAGAATAGAGAAAAAAACTTCCAAGGCTCCCATTGAGAGCTGAAATGTTCATGAATATCAAGCAGAAAAGGAGTTAAATGCATGAATTGAACTAATAAAAGAGTGTAATAACCCTTTTATGACTTTTTGCCTAAAACCTTATGGATCCTTTTTTTGTTTTTCAGAGCCAAGAAAACTTTTGAGCTATTTACTGCTTTTTTTTTTTTTTTTTTTTCCCAGCTACTCGGGGGTGAGACGGAGTTTCGCTCTTGTTACCCAGGCTGGAGAGCAATGGCGCGATCTCGGCTCACCGCAACCTCTGTCTCCTGGGTTCAGGCAATTCTCCTGCCTCAGCCTCCTGAGTAGCTGGGATTACAGGCACGCGCCACCATGCCCAGCTAATTTTTTGTATTTTTTTTTTTAGTAGAGACGGGATTTCACCATGTTGACCAGGATGGTCCCGATCTCTTGACCTCATGATCCACCCGCCTCGGCCTCCCAAAGTGCTGGGATTACAGGCTTGAGCCACCGCGCCCGGCCCTACTGCTTTTAACAATTGAGTAAAGTATACTCATATAAACAAAATTTGGAAGATATTTCTCTCTACCTGATTTCTTCAAAATTTAGAAACTAGCTGTGGTATTCTTAACTTAGGGCAATATAGTTATTTGCCTAAGTGCAATAAGAATCTGTATTCTGGCCAGGTATGGTGGCTCATGCCTGTAATCCCAGCACTTTGGGAGGCTGAGGTGGGTGGATCACCTGAGGTCATCAGGAGTTCCACACCAGCTTGCTCAGCAAGGCGAAACCCTCTCTCTGCTACAAATACAAAAAAAAAAAAAAAAAAAATTAGCAGGGCATGGTGACATGCACCTATAGTCCCAGCTACTCAGGAGGCTGAGGTACGAGAATCACTAGAACCCAGGAGGTGGAGGTCGAAATGAATCGAGATCATGCCACTGCATTCCAGATATTAGCAGAAAAAAAGAAAAAAAAGAAAGAAACAAAAGAAAGAAAGAAAAAAAAGAAAGAAAGAAAGAAAGAAAGAGAGAAAGAAGATAAAGAAAGAAAAAGAAAAGAAAGAGAAAGAAAGAGAGAAAGAAAGAGAAAGAAAGAAAGAAAGAAAGAAAGAAAAGAAAAAGAAAGAAAGAAAGAAAGAAAAGAAAAAAAGAAAAAAAGAAAGAAAGAGAAAGAAGGAAAGAGAAAGAAAGAGAGAAAGAAAGAAAAAGGAAAGAATCTGTTTTCTTTTGTAACAGGACACAATTGGAGACACTGGTTATTTTACAAAGGTTTTGACTAGAATGGCATGGTATCAGATACAGACTCCTTTAAGGAATCAAAGTTGACTGACAGAGCCAATAAAAACCCCTTGGGAAAAAGCTGGCCTCAAAGCTTGTCTATGTAGTTCCTGTACAGGTTCCTGACCTCTGATAAGTAAAGAACGTTAATTTCTGACAGGCCCAAGAGCCCCAAGTTTTCTTGGGACCTCAAGGTGAAGAATTCACCCAATTAATATGGGTATTTGCAGGCACGGGCTGGGCTTAAGACTTTAAATTCAAATCAGAGATTTCTTATGGAATAAAGATCCAGAAAATCCAATTAAAAAAACAAAAACAACAGGAGACTACATGGCAAATAATTATTCTTGCTGACTTTATGAAAATACTCTAGCCAAGTATAATAAGACTAAAACTTATTTTTCCAATGATTTTGTACTATGATTTGTTGTTAGTGAAAACAGGACAAGAGAGCAAAAATAAAGTATGTTTCAAAATGATCTATAGTACACCTGTTGTTAAATTCTGGTCTTGTTTAATGTTTTTTTTCCATTTTTATTATTTTTTACAGTTTGGACTGAATTCTAAAATTTTTCCTGGCTACAAGTCTCCAAAATTATGTTTTCAACTTTTTTCTTCTTTTTTCCTTTCCTTTCCTTTCCCATTTCTCCTGACTGGAAATCATTAAAAACTGGCTGGCACGGTGGCTCACGCCTGTAATTCCAGCACTTTAGGAGGCTGA